GTAAGTCTGCGTGGATAAACCTTACCTACGATGAATCATCGCGTAAACCGCGCATTTCGCCTTCGTGTCCGTTAAAGATATAACGCTATTCCCGAGGGAAAATGGCCCAATTCGAAAATTCATCTGGACATCTGCGGGTTTAAATAAACCCCAAAAATCATGTATTTTTCTTGCTTTGATAAAGTTTTTACGAACCTAGGGAGTGGATGTTTCCTCTTCGATACATTCATCGTATCAAACATAGAAAGAAACATAGAAGTATCATATCATGTAATGAAAACAAAATATTTATTTTTAATAGATTAAAATAAAACAGACTTTTGAAATGTTCGAACAAGTCTTGTTTATTGAAATTATTTTTAATGCAGATCCGTCGCTAAGGGGAAAATTACATCAACACACAATTAATTTATAAGTTTAATCAATCAACGATTTTATTATTAAATTAATGTTCTGGCAAAAACAAAAACAATATGTATGTGTGATAAATGCTTGTATGTGTCAATATGTATGTATGCGTGATAAATGCTTAATATTAAACACTGAATTTTGCACATAGAAAAATCAAGAGATGATTAATTGTTAGTTTCTTTCCTTTTGTGCAAAATATAGTTTATATAAAAATATTGTACACTGCGCGCGCTTAAAAATATGTTAATTTTATTCTTAGAGCTATTTTATGTGCGCAGTTAAATTCTGCTCGAGAAAAATTTCTTTTTGGTAAGCAAAACGTGCAAGCGCAAAACTAACATAAGCTAGTCTTCATTTACGGAAATGCGAGACATGGCAGAGCGCGTTGTAACGTAGCGAATGTTACGCTGTAACCAAATGGCCCCGCTGAGACGGTAAACAAGTTCGCAAAGTTCATGGTTCTTTATCGTCGAAATGTGGAAAGAGAAGCTGTCGCGCAGTTACGACCCTTGTAATGTGTGGCTTCGGCTTGCGACTTCTACTCGCAACTTTTTACTGTAATTAATTCCTATGATCAGAGGCACTCTCTCAGGACCGCAACTTTTGGTTGCATGTAAATGCATAAATCATGCGAGTCTTGTCGAAAAAGAAATTCCTTGCTTTCGTGCACACAATCGAGATTAATGTTAACATTTTCACCATTTATAATTTCTGAATACATCGGAAAAAGTATCTTGTTTTTTTTTGATATTGATACAATACAATATTCGCATAATTTTCAAAAAAATCTTTCTTAAGCTGTACATTTTTTTTTGAGTACTTAATAATATTTATCAATATTCTAAAAAAATAAATTTTTTATCAAGTTGTTGCGCTGCAAAAAAATCTAGAAAATGTACTCAGTTTTCGAGGGTATGCCTCCTTAAAATTAAAGTTTTTGGCTTCGCCGTGTTTCTATCCACGCATTTGTAAGACAAACATCGGAGCGCTTGTATTATTTTCGTGCTTGGCCAAACACAAACAGGTGGTGAATCATAATGCGATTTTCTCGGAAATAAGGTAGAAAAAATACACATTTGGCGCGCGCTACCATTTTTACAATTTATATGATTTATTCATATTCTTACCAAAATGTCGGTTTGGTCGAGCTTCCCGATGAGATTGGTAAACGAGCCTCTGTCGGCGAAAAGCCAGATACCGACAGTCAACGCCGCTCCTCCGGCGACCTGCAAAACACGAAGCACCTCGGTGTATATATCTCCGTTCTGCTTCATGGACTTTGAAGGTTGACCAAAGGAAACGGGGCCCAGAACTCGAAGCAGGGGCTTGGCAATTTTCACTTGCGATCGCACGCAGGCACATTAAATTACACATGTATTTGTCCCAATAAAGAGTACGTGAAAGATGAGAAAATCTTCGAGATATATTTTATCAATCTATCGAACACGCGAAACTAAACTTTATTTCCACGTTCGCTTCTGATAAGATATATCCACAATAAGAAATCAAGAAAATTTTTTTTTTTTTTTTTTTTTTTTTTTTTTTTTTAATTATGATATGGAGAACCGTTAATTTTTTTTTTTGTTTTTTGCTGAATGATAAGAGCAAAGTGCCATCCGATAAAAGTAAAAAACTCAACGGAGAGATATTGTCTTCTATGCGATATGCGAAATTGTACGCACAAAGTTCAACTCTGACAATTCGATATGTAATTGATTTTGCATATATTTTTTTTATTCGCAATACAAATCTAAAATTTTGGAATTGTCCTGCATTTATTCGAACAAATGGTAATATGCTCGAGGACAGAGCCAATATCTTTCAATGTGGACAGTTTTTTTAATAACGCGACGAACGCGAGTAACGCTGTAAAGTAAAAACGACGACGAAATTTGCAGCAGTAATAAATCGTTGTCCATTATTCTTGCCGTCTAGAATGCGAATGCTATTTATCGTAATACGACCCCAAAACTTGTTGCAACTGACGGGACGATGTTGTTGAATGAAATCCAGCGTGAGGTTCGCAAGCGTATACGTGTATATATCGTGTAGCGCCAGTTATAAGGAAAAAAAATTCACCATTTGCTTCATAAATCTCTGGGAGGGTAATCATTTTTTATAATGCTTGAAGAGATTCTAACATGCAATTTGATGACGATAGAAGTTGCACAGAACCGTATGGTCAAGCCTCCACGAATTCAAAGATATAGCGAACGAGATCTATCGATATCGATAAGCTTTGATTTTTTTTTCTCATGTATCTCACAACTAAATCATTTTCTTTCCCTTAATATCAACGATTCTAAAATGCGAAAAAGCGTTCATTTGTTATGTGAAATATATATATATGCAATGTGTGTGTGTGTGTCTATTAAAAATCACGTAATTCTCAAAATTGTCCATTTTGTAAATACAATCAATTTCCTTGTTTAATGAATAGTGGTCAGTTCCATCTGGAACATTCTTGTATTTATTTCTTAAATTAAAGTTTCGTTAATATAAAAAAAAATCATGAATCAAATAACAATTTTATTATTTTGTTTATGATTTAATATATTTTATTTTGTTTTTACATTACTGAATTTTAAATTATAAATATTTCTTGAATTTTTAGTTGCATGTATTTCGCGCGTATAAAAACTTAATTCAAGCGTTATAAAATACAGCGTTCTCTTTAATTTTCAATTTTACTATCTGTAATTGAGAGAAAATACGTTGTCTGCGCGAACCATTCTAATAGATAGCAACTAGTTGTTGCGATATATTGTCATCGCATAAGCAATTAATCTTGTTTGCCAAGATTATATCGTAAGCGGATAATATTGAATGATATAGCATGAATGCAGGTTCATCGACCTTTGAGGTAGTAATGCTGCTTGCCTTTTTCTTTGAAAGTTCAATTAATAATGATGTTGCGGTTGCGGTTTCGCAACGCTGCGTCAAAGATAAATCCAATAACGAGCATGCGAACACTTTATATTATTAAGTCAACTCCTCGCGACAGCTTTTAATCGAATGAACATTATTTAATGATGCGGATATTGAACAGAATTTCGTAAATAGTAGTAATATATCTTAATGCACGTAGCAAATGTCATAACTTTTTTTAAATTTGCGTCGAGCAGCGAGATCAACTTCTCTAGCGGTTTATTAAAGTCCCACTCGCCACAGAATTCGATAACGTCTGAGCCAAATGCTTTGAAATAAAATATTCCATCGAGCTTTCAAACACACCATCTTTATATTTTACGTGGGATCAAAAGTATTTATTTAAAGAATTTTGAAAGAGTTATACTCTCTCTTTCTCTCTCTCTCTCTCTTTATTTACAGTGTCCTCTTTATTCAGAATTTAAATATTTTAATGGATATTTTATTTTGTAACATTCACATAAATTGCTTTGTCTACATCGAAATAGAATTCTTGAAACAAGCACAATACACAATATTTCATACAAGATAAAATTCCATATGCAAAACCATTATATAAGCGACCCACTATGTTATATAAAATTGTGCATATAAGTCTATATATATTTTAGTTGTGCATAATCAGTCTAGATATATTTTCTGAAATATTTTAATATGCTTTACTTTTCTCGTCTCAAAATAGTTAGAGTTCTAAAATACATTGAGAATATTATTTATTGCAATATATTCTTACAATCACCTTACCACCATGTATTTGAAGCATGGAACATAAATTTTACTAAGAATATCTCAGAGCACAAAAGCACTTAGCTTTTAGCTCTTAGAATTTTTGCTTTCCTCCTTAACACGGTAATCCCTCCTTTTATTCAAGAAATCCATTAATCCCGTTTTAATCTTAAAATCAATGTGTTATATTAAAAAATAAGATGATTATTGCAGCATATCAATTATTAAAATAATTATCTTTCTAATCCGTAATTAAATTTTAATTATTTAGCAATCAAAAGTAAAGTGCATTTATATGTATCAAAAATCTACATTAAATTGTACATGTATGCAGTTTAAAGAAAATATCAATAACGTTGCTATACGGAGAAAGAATTTTTCTAATCACATTGTCTTCATTTGCAAAATCTAATTGACCCGATGCAGATAGGCGCGAATAATGTAATTGGTTTTTCTCGACATTAAGCGACATTAAGAATTAACGCTGTTGAGGCAATTAATCCGCGAAAATCTGCGAGACACAAACCCTTCGATTGACGATCACCCGCGATTGTTGCGTATTTCCCTCAACAATTAATGATATTATCGGTCCAAAAGTCCCATCGCCCCGAATGCCCGATAAGAGTACGCGCGCCGCGTGGGGTGCTGGGAAGAGGGGTTGGTTCAGTTCAAGCCGGCGCCCTCGCTCCACAAGTTCCTTCAGTATACGCGCGTAGCTACATTCGGTTAGACCTTATCTCGCGCGCGTATCGTGCTCGAGAGTCGCATCGCCCTTTGGAAAAAAAATTATCACAAGGGAAATATTTCGTCGATCGATCTGCGTGCCGAATGACCTGTGTGTTTTTCGCTCAGATTTAATTAAGAACAATTTAAACCAACACGATTGTAATTCATCATCCTCTCGAAGTGTTCCTTAGTTTGTAATCCATAACGCTCGTTATGCAAATCGAAATTTAGAAATCTTAACATAGAAATTCCATGTTGCATAGAACGAATAGAGTGTACTAATGTGAATTGTCATTTTAAAATTCGCGCTAATTATGGCTGACAATTTCGTAAAAAAGTTTTGTATTAAATATTGTAATTTATTTCAAAAATCAGTTATTTATTACACATTTCGCACATTGCTTACAATAAATTTAAATTATTTTTTATTTTATATTATTAAAATGCAGTTAGAAGATGTTGCTATTATTCAATGCAGATATCAATTGATTAAGAAAAATTATCTTGTAACAAAACTATTGTTTTATTGCAAACGAGAACTATCTATTCATATCTTTTGTGAACAATCATATCAAACTGTATAATTTCATTTTTCAAGATTTCACTTTGGTAATATTAGCGAAACATCGTAATTTCCTTATCACAGTTATCAAAGGTTCAATCGATTTCAATTTGCACGAGCTAGCACTACCGTGGCAATATATATCTCGGATTCCTCTTTGCTTCTTCCATTACGTTTGATAATGCGCGCCTCGAGAATACTTTCAACGACACTATTCGAAATTTTTTACAAAACAAGAAACACGATCTGTTTGTGCATGTAATAGTTACAAAGCGCTTATTCGTACCACGAGGAACAATATAATGTTCTACCGCGGAAGGAGAATGACAACGTTAAGCGGCAAAGTTTAACTTGGGGGTAAGTAGGATCCTGATTGCGTTGGATATTATAACACAAAGCTTTTGCTCTAACGACTAATTATTAAATATTTTCCTCGTGCACCTTATTAAAGACAAAGTAATAATTCCGTGTTAACGTAACATAATACCACGCATATTGGCTAAATGAGAATGACGTTAATACTGGCTTAATCGTGCAGTTAATACTAGTTTAATCTATACTAGTAACACTGAAATAGCGTTCCAATCTTCCCGCGTGTCAACGTTGTAGCGATTAAATCGCAGCCACACTGAATTATCTTTATTTTTCTGGCCACTGTAATTTAACTTTTTTTCCGAGAACATATATGATAATTTTATATAAAATATATACATTTATTGCGCTTTATTTTTTTATATAGCGGATGCTTATAATAAAATATATAAAAAGAATTAAATACCATGAAATACTAGAAAGTAAAAATTGTTGTCGTCAAATATAAAACAACTTTAAAAGAAATATATATAAATTTATCCTATCGAATAGGAGTTCTCTTATTCCAATAGTATTTCTTCTTTAAGAGAGAATTTCTTATATGTGCCATAAAAAAGAGAAATTTCTCACATTGCTCCTAAAAACATTATCTTAACTACTATTACAAAAACCTGTAACCATCGACCCTTATTTAACCGTCGAAGAAAAAGTCGGTGGCGAAACGGCGAACCTTTAGATCTAGGGTGTGCACCCAGGATCGTCGTACATGGCCCTTTACGACAGCAGTAATTCTTTAACGAGACCACGCGCATGCCGGATCTGCCCTTGGTTATCGGTGTAACTTCGTAACATGGCTTTCTTTTACCCTGATGGAGTCACAGTAGCCGTATCAGCTAAAGTCCACCTTTGCTCCAGCGGGTTCTCTGTGTGTCTTTCATCTAGACTCACCTTTAAATAAGCCGTACGGAAAATATAATTATCAGACATCAACCTATGTACATGTGTATACTCAGCTACATTTGCATTGTTGTTTTACTTTTGATTATGCTTTTTGTCCGACATACACAATGTAAAAAGTGCTTCAGAAAACTTAACAAGGCTTTATATTGGAAGAGATGTAAAACATGTGTGCATCATATTCTCAAAAGAAGAAAGAAAATCAAAAACGTTTTTTATGTATATTGTAACTCGTTATAACTTTCAACAAATTTTTTCATACGCAAATATAAAAGTTTTCCATATAAAAGGGTCTTATTTCAAAAAAGTATAATAATTCTCGCATTTTTTTAAAGGAGACTAATAATTTTCAAAATAAATGCGCTCTCTCCGATAAAAATACATAATAGCATTTTCTATGACATGATAATTTTCTATATCACCATTAAAAATGTGAGATATTCGCATCTAGAATATAGTTAGTATATTATTCTCTCTCTTCGTATTATATATATAGAATACTACGAAAAGAAGAGGATACACTTACTATAGCTGCATGCGTTTGCGCAAAGAGCACTGTGTGCGCCGACAGTGATTTATTGTAACGTTTCACATAACATACTTTCAAGAAAACTCAACCTTAAATATAGGATTCTTATGATATGCTGGCGGAAGAGTTGTACTCTACCTCTTTTCGTCATAAATGTAAAAGAGAAAAACAAATTGCTGCAAAAATCTAGAAAAGTTTTTCTTCAATAACATAACTTTATACATTTATTACCATTCTTTCACAAATACTTTTAGATCATTTATTTCATAAAGAGTTAAGAGAGACACACGCGTCTGTTGATACGACGAATAACTTTCAACAAATGCAAACTCTTCCGCGAAGTTTACACCAAACTTTCAGAGTCAAACTTAATTTTCATTCTTTTCATTCTACGGATTTTCAGCTCCTCGCGAATTCGTATACTGTAACGGATGCGCAGCACATCGAATTTGTTTTCCCGTTTTGGAAGCTGTTAAAATTACAAAGGATTAAAGAGTATATTAACATTTAAAGGAATAGGATATTACTGCGAAACAATAATGCCGCAATTGTAGAAAGTTAAGAATTGCCGGAATTGTAGTCGTTTTTACGATCAAGTTATTGTTCATAGAGCTACTTATAAAATTAAAAATTACCTGCCCATCCTGTATAGTACACCTGATACCTTACGAAACGATGAAATGAATATTCATTTCGACAATAGAGATGAGAATTACTCCTTGACACAGATCCCAGATTATTGCTTCGCTCTTGAGACGGTCCAGTAGCTATAGAATTGAAGAGACGAGATATAGTGAGAGCGATCTTATAAGAAAATTCGGCCACGAAATAATAAATGTAACGATTCGCCGTGATCACAAAAAAGCATCGTACCGTGAGCAATTTCGTTAATTCTAACGTTCGCCTAAATTCTAACATTTCCATAAAACGCCGAGAATTTTAATAACGCAATAATGTCACTCCGGTCACAGTTCTTATCGCAAGTAATTATATAAACGTTTATGCGAGCATAGATTTACACGAGATAATTTAAATTTATATAAGAAAGCACAGGCGAAGATACTTTATCTTGTAAAATATCCTCGCTTGTATCTCCTTTAATTTAACATTCTTCATAAATCTCATAAGTTTTATTTAAATTTTTTAAAAATAATTAATGAATGCTGATTTAACAATGGAACGTATTACATCTAATTTTTGGATGCGATCAATAAAAGAAAATAACCATTAATTTATCTCTCACACATTTTGCTTCAATATTCATATTTAATTATTTCTCTCTCTCTCTCTCTCTCTCTCTCTCTCTCTTTGTTATAAAAATGCTTCCCTTTTAAACATTGAAATTTAAAGACAACAGAATCGAAAGAATCATAATGGACGGGCTGCACTTCGTAACAAACATCAACATTACATATATCTCCGTGATTTTAACGCGAGTGAGTTGCTATCCAACCGCTGGAAATTTTCATTACGATATTCGATTAATTACAAACATGCAGTATTCCCTGAAATTTAATCGTAAATAAAGACTATTGCGGCGATAATTTTACAACTTTGGCAACGCAAATATCGTGCATGTTTATCTAGTCTATAAAGTCAAGTATTTCACAATCATATTATAATACGTCGCGTATAATACCTTTATAAATGAAGAGCCTTTTATTAAAAGACGCATAGCGCAGAAATTTACAAGGCATTTCATTTCTTAATTAGTCTTTACATTTCATGCAAGATTTAATTCCAAAATACGTAAAAGACGCTCATTTGAAATGGGCTTATTTTATGTACAGTATATTTACGCCTTTGAATCAACATTTATGACGTAGTTTCTCGTTGCTTTCATCACTAAATATTAATATATGGTTCAAATCAACTTCATGATGATGTGACTTTCACGCGATATTCAACACAACCTAATAAATCTTTCAAACGCCAGTGATAATAGCATATCACAGAAATAAACAAATAATTAAAATATATCAATTAATAACTTTATATCGACATATTATCTAGAAACATTAAAATTAAATGTTTGATGTATCGACATACTCATTGTAATCTATATGTATTATATTTTTTGTTAAAACGCACTATGAACAGAATAATAATTTATCATATATTTCCATCACTTTTTACGCACATAAACTTGCGTTAACATTTTTTAAACTTTATTATGAGCAAAAAATCTGCTGGGAATACTCTTTCTGTGTGCATAAAGAAGCGCGAACTTCATTAGTCGTGACAATGTCACTTTTAAACAAGCCAGATGCAATTAACTACCGTAGCGATGATCTAAAGGCTTGAACTTATTTATCTGGGTTTTTCTTTTGTAACGTCAAATGTTCAGTCAATCCAGAAAATATAATTTTGTTATTATAAAGTTACGTATACGCGTATTTATTAAAAACTCTAATTAAAAACAAATAAATAAAACTATTATTATATTTAATTATAAATGATTGTTAAATTTTCTCGGTTGTCATATATTTCTCCTACTTCTCTATTTATTTCATACGCATTTATCTCCCGCGACCACTTTATTAAATTTTTTATATTTGTTGAGTCACTCTTTTTTTCAATTTTTTTATTTCTCATATACACGGTATTTCTCATTGACTCGGTCAACATAGCCTTACTGGTGCTTGAAAAGATGCTTTCTGAGAACGCTGTGAACAAGAAAAATTTATATAAATATGGTACTAATTCAGAATATTTAAAAAACTATTTAAAATTTTCAAAGATGCAATGCCATGATTTCTCAGCTCTGCTACGGTTTCCTCCTAGATTTTTGTGTTTAAGATATATAAACGGAGATAGATATAAATTACATTCATCAGAAGAAAATGCAGATATAGAAAGCTTTACATCAAATCTTGGATGTGATCACACAAATGAGAAAGTCGTATATTTTTTCCAATTTAATCCAAAATTACAAACATGTATACGGTTTATACATGTGCGATGAAATGCATTAAAGCGGAATATAAAGTTTTTGAAGATCGTAGCATTGCATCTCTTATAATTTTGAATATCTGCTCTAAATTTTGTTTTTCTTATCACAAAAATGATTTTATCCTACACATGAAACAAACTGAATCTTCTCTTTCATATTTAAAAAAAAAATTCTTTTTCCCGAGTTTCATAAATTGTTATACTTTCATAAATATTGAGAATTGTTTAAACCACGTTAATAAACTTCTACTCAAAATAATCTATAAAATAAATATTTTTTAAAAATGAGATTATATCATTCTGTGTATATATAAATAAAATATTAATGTGGTTATGTTTTTTTCTTATAAACTTTTCTAAATCGCATAAAGAAAAATATCATTAATCTGTAAAAATATTTGTATTCGACTTCATGGCAGAGACTAAGAATTGATGAAATCAATTCTTGATTTCATTTCTCGGATTATTTGCTTAACCAGTTCACTGGTGGACCCGAAATCAACGCTTTGTGCCAAAATTGGTAAGAGTAAATAATTTCGTATTAATCATCGAACCAAAAAACATGGGTGTATCAAGTTACTTTGTACCCCAATAATCCAGATTTTTC